TGCAAGCCAGAGAACGACCGACGAATCCACACCATGTGCTGCTGCACCAGAAATGCCAGTGCCGAACTATCTTCTTCCTCCAAGTGCTCCAGAAACTGCCACAGGTCATGTATGCAGTCCCGTAGACAGTCTCGCCGGCGGAGGCAGTGTGGCAAACGTCATGGCAGCACAGGCGAAGGTTAGGGAAGTTAAGGTCAGGGAAGTTATGTACAGAAACGATCCAGTAAGCGCAGAGAGAGCCGGGCCCTGCTTCGTTGCTCCTCAGCCTCGGCCATGCAGGAAGGGACGTTGTCATCATCACCCCAGAGGGTCAGAGGAGCAAGGCGATCAACCAGCCCACCCAGGCGGAGCCTATAATCGACATGGTGCCACCTACCAGACGAGCCGGGGACCTAACTAAACCGCTAGTCACCAACAACCTCGGAGTCTGTGGCGCTCGCCCTCTTTTGCTGGGCGGGGCCCTGGTCTGTGCACGGCGGGCAACACCTACGGTCGCTGAGCCGATACTGTACGATGTCACTAGTTCGAGCATGCCGCGCCCCATCGGGCAAACAAAACAGATTACTGCAACAGCTCACTGACAGTATTCCCACAGCACGGCATGTGTTTCATGAATGGCATGCATCCAGGGGCATTTGTACAGGCTAGCCTAAATTCAACAAATTCTGACATCAAGAATTCTCATGCAACATAAATTCACCATGCACGACCCAAGCAAGGCCACAGTTTCATGCAGGAACATGCAAGCAAATTAAAGGTACCAGCACATGCAGCTTCCATCAAGGTATCATAAATTCATCATGCACTTGCAGCATCAAGCAACTTCAGCACGTACAAAGCAGCAACAGCAGAAAAAACGCGACCAAATGACTACGCAGTACATAGAAGAAGACATTCCCCAGTGCTGCTATCATGCATAGGATACAGAAATCCCTTGACGTCCCAAAGGAAAGTGGGATACATGAAGGAGGGATCTTGAGGCTTCACGAGCATTCGTAGCCAGACAAAACAGTTGAGTGCTGCGGCGGTTCGCTCACGCGCAGAAGCAAGCAGCTATGCCATGCTCGAGCCACAAGAACAGCAGCACAAACCCGCATTCTGGCACATCCTGTGCCCCAAGGCCGTGGCAAATATTAGGTACGCCTTCATAATGGTCTGCATCTGCCAAAGATTCCGAAAGCTCTGTTCATCTCTCTGACTCTAACGGAGCCTCCCGGAGCTCCTCGGTGTCTTCTGCGACCCTCACGACCTTCCACACGCGTGTATATGTACATGTATATGTGTGTGTGTACATGTATACGTGTATATATATACATACATACATACATACATACATACATACATACATGTACACATATAAATACACACATACACATACACACACACACACGTGTGGATGTGTATCTATGTGTGTGTGTGTGTGTGTCCGCGTGCGTGTGTGTGTCTAGATTTAAATATACATATAGACAGTGTAGATATGCATATGCATATGCTATGTACATGGCACAATACATATGCATATGTATGTGGATACGGATCTGTATGTGTGTCTATGTGTTTGTGCATACGGAAATGTATGCTTGAGCACTCGCACTCGTACTCGAAGCTTCGGCGAGGGCTGGGGAGGAGGCAACTAGTTGCAGGTAGCTCTTCTCGAGCCATCCCAGGCGCATTGGCCAATCAACACACGACGTCTTCCCAAAGGTTCTCAGCTTCAGCTTACCAGCGCTCAGGACCTCGCACACATACCAAACACCAGTAAACGAACCTTAACCTTTCCATTCCGGTCTCCGCCATTGAGGGTCCATGCGCCCCATTCCAGGCTTGTTGCTGTCAAGACCGTGCATCAGCTTCCAGATCCCAGGCGCAGCAGAGCTACCACTCTCCGGCAAGAGCAGACGCTCAGGGAGCTGGAGACGCTACTTCTAGCAGCAGACACTTCTGCACGACTTCGGCGGCTTCACTGTATCATCCATCCCACTCCTCAAGGCACGGCTGTGGGCATGCCACACTGTTGAGGACCGCTGCTTGTCCTCTCCAAACCAGCTTCTGATTCAGCTTACTGCAGTGCACATTGCGTTCACAAGTTTCCTACCATAGTGACGGATGTCGCCAAATGGCAGGCACATCAAGATTCCGAAGCGAGCGCTGCGCAGGGAGCATGGATGCCACGTCTAGTTTCTGGCAGCAGGTTTGGTCCCGTACCGATCGACTCACTTTTCCGATTCCAAGTCAGGCGAAGAGTCCAACAGGGAATAAAGATGGGAATAAAGGCCGTGACCAGGTTCCATCACACTTCCAACCTGTGATCAGCTTGTATCCTGAGCTGAGCCGCTGCCGTGCAGGATTCAGCGTTGGGTGCCATGGCGGCGCCGGGTGCCGTGGCTGTATGGTCTTTGTGCTAGGTTGAGCCCCCCCACGTTCCCACGAGATGCTTACATGTTGTGACGTGGGATATACCCACAGAGCACAGTTGATCATATGTATTCGTATACGTATATGTCTAAATTATAAGCATCGGCATAAGTGGTTGTATAGGTATGGGTATGGATCTAGTTGTACGCATAGGTATCCGTGTAAGTGTAGGTGTAGGTACATCCATATGTATATATGCCGCACATGCGTATGCGTATGCATGTGTATGTGAATGTGCATGTGTATATGTATGTGGATGTGTATGTATGTATAGATGTATGTATAGATGTATGTATACATGTATGTATGAATGTATGCGTAAATATGCATAATTTATGTATGTATTTATGTATGTATGTATGTATGTATGTATGCATGTATGCATGTATGCATGTATGCATGTATGTATGTATGTATGTATATGTGTATGTATATGTGTATGTAGGTAGGCTGCGTGTGTGTGTGTGTGTATATCCGGACAAACAAGGATAGGTAGAATCAGGTAGAAAGGAAGATAGATGGTTAGATAGATAGACAAACGGATAGGTACCCATGCACACATACACACGCACACAATTACGTACTTACATGCTTAATACTTACATACATACAAATTTACATACACGCATTGACATAGATAGCTCAATGATATATTTCTTTGTATGGTTTTGCTGATGCCTTGTGGGGTCAACGACGTGGGCAGGGTATGCAGGGTTCGGACTGGCCTTGCTCAAGAAGATCTTCATGAACCCTTGAAAGGCTGGTCCTGGGCTCGGAGAGACTGCCAAGTCGTCATGGTCTACTCAAAGATCTCACCATCCCATGAGCACTTCGAGCTCTGGGCCGCAACATTCGTCGTGGGTGGCATTCTTCATCATGCTGTCCGGGCCGAAGCAACCTCTAAGACAAGGACCGGGGCCGGCATCTTACCGTTAAGCATTGTCTGTGTCAGGGTCATAGATCAAATGCCCCTCCCAATTGTGGGAAGCGGTGGGTCTGCTGTGTACTTTGGAAAACGCAATGCTGAGTGATGCCGATTCCATCATGCTCGGTCGTGAAGGCATGGACCAACAGTAGAATGAGCTTGGCCCCACAGAAGTTCTGTCTCTTCTTGCACCCTGCCCCGAAGTGTTGCATCTGCCCGGCGGCCGCCGCCATGTTTACCGCGGCTCTCTTGCAGAAAAGCTTAAGAGCAACAGCACATCACTCAGATCCCGACGCTCCGGCTGATCGCAGCAATGAGCCTTCACACTCTGATGCTACGTGTACGCCACATAATACCTTCGTGTTTTGTGTGGCTTGGAACACCGGTCCATATTGGTCCATACATACCAATGCATCCCTTCTCCAACACTGTTAAGCGATTGTAGATAGGGGATGCAAACCACACCAGAGCTTGGTGCAACTCCCTCCATATCGCATTCTTGTGCTTATTCGCATGATGGCACTCGCAGCTATCAGAGTCATGGCGGCAGCCCCATTGGCACGCGCACAGGTGAAGTCGCTGCTTCAAAGATGAGGCCGAAACCATCTGTTCCACATTGTCGAAGCAAGTTCCCTGCCACGTGCGCTGCCGATGAGCCGGAGATCTCTGCACACCGACGTTGAACCGTGAAGCTCTCAGTTCAGGCGGAAATACACTTTCAGGCTGGCCCTAACTAAATAGTCAAACCCACATCTCGAAAGCCAGAAACTCGCACTCCGGCAAGCCGCCCGGCCTGCAGGCTCCAAGTCTGCCTTGTGGACACCAACAAAGCAAGAAGTGCCGCCAGTGCCCCGACCTGCTCACCACATCATGGCATGGACGGGGCATCCTCGTTAAGCAACCATACACTCATACACACCGAGACAAGGAAGCCATGTGGTCAGACCTGCACTCGTGCCATCGCGGCGGCGACGAGACCTCGGACAGCGCAGAGCAGCTAGTAGTTGGCAGGCTCCAGTGAGCTCCTGGAATGCAAAACGCAAAACAGTTGCAGAATAGGCACCCAGCTTCAGCTCAACTGGGGCCAAAGCATTTGCTCGAGACCCTCTTCGACTGCCCCAGGCCATCCACAGGTGGCAGCTGGGCGCAGAAACTAGGTCAGGACGCAAAGAAAGGAAGGACATGTTTTGCGTCGGGGCTCCATGGAGTTGCTCGGGGCTCGGCCGCTATGCTTAGGACATCAGTCCAAAGGTCTCCTTGCTAACCTGCAGCTACAGAAAGGGCCGCGTCTCCTCGTTGTGATTCTCTCTGAAACTGAAGCAAGTGGTAAAGGACAAAGGGGCATCCTTCCTTGTTGTATTTCAGAAAGCCCGATGCTTTGGGCCCCAGCGGCTGAGAAACTGCGACAGTTGTGTAGATGTTCTGGAGCAGCTGCTTGATTCTCCAATCCCTGCGGCCTTTCTCAAATTTGCGCCGAACATCGCCGAACCACGGCAGCGAGGAAGATCCGTCTCGGATCTCCAAGCCATCTGCAAACTTTCCGTGCCGTCTCAGCGCAGCATCCTGGAGACCGCGAGCCCCGCGGAGCTATTTCGGCTCTCACTCTCGCACAACACAGGCCAAATTCGCGAAGGTCAAGACTTCAGATTCAGCGACTCGCCTACAGCACACAACAATTGTCTGCATCTTGGGGTGCCCTTGCCGAGCTGTGAGAGTCGCTCTCTGAAGTGCTAGGGGCTAGGACGTCTAAGCCAGAAGCCTCCGTCTCTGGCAAGTTGACATGAAACTCCACATCGATATCACCGTAGACGACGAATCCAGCATTGAACCTGCCTCCCATGCAAAGGCAGGACAGCCTATGCAGCTTCGTGTCCCATCTGCCTACACAAACTTGAACCGAAGAAAGGTGAATCTAAAGGGTAGGGAACAGCTGCACTCTGCGCTAAATCCTGTTTCAAGCGCCTCCCATATCCAACCAGGCGTGCAGCTCAGGCGTGTATCGCCCGTCCGTCAGCCGGTTCTCCCAGGTGTGTTCCCAAACTGCGCCTGCACTCAACGCTCGCACTCAGGCTTCGCAGCCTTTAAGCGAAAGACTCTTTCTTGTCCAGGTCTGATGCTTCTGGTGATAGATCTATGCTGAGAGCGCTTCCTTGAACTCACGATCGCCACAAATAGTCACCTATTAACACCAAGGAGAGGTAGAACTGGTAGAATCGAAACGCCACGAGACCAATCGAACTGAATCGAGCTACAGAATTCTGCCCGGCCAGCTTCAGCGAACCCTCAAGAAAGAATACCCAGCCCTGTTGAAACCCACACTCACAGGTGCCCAGCTGCGGAGAGGCCTTCATGTCCAGTAAATTTCAAGCGGTTTTGGCCGTCTGTGCCAAGGCTCACCTGCAAATGCAAAGAGTCTGGTGCCACGTGGGCAGCCGAGTGCACTGACCCTTGCCGTACAGCCGGGTGCCTTTTCCAGTGTCGACATTGAGCCGCGAAGATCGGACAGTATTAATTGACACCGCAACACCACAACTTTCATGCTGTCGATGTTGGAACGCAGTGCCTAACACTGACAGCACGCGACATAGCTGCAATGGGTCAACTTTCAAAGTGAAGCGATTTGTGCAAACTCTTGCGCTGCTTGCACTCAGTTTCGCAAGAGGTGAAATCAAGCGTTCCCGGCGAATTCAAGCGGGAGACTAGGTGGTGACAATCGCCGGTGGGCTCGCATTCTGGGGCCCTGCCCCGAGTGCTGCCAAATTAGGCGGCCGCCAGTCATTGGGGACCATGACCGGTACGTGCTCGATACGCTCTGTCTCCTGGACCTGCGTCACGGGTACTTCCTTGTACCTGTCCACGAAATGCTCCTGGATGTAAGTTTGCGGCACCGTCTGGTCAACCTCAGGCTGCATCACGTCGGCTGCTTCATAAGATTCGGGACACTAGGTACTGCTTACTTATGCTGCCTATGGCAACGACGACGACAGACATGCAGTGCTGATACTACAACTTTGTCGGCGCAAACTTCCCCCGGGTCTACCTGCTTGATCTTGTACTCGATCTCGGGCACTTCAATGATTTTATCCACTGGCACCTCACGATACTCCACGAAGTCGTCGTACTCTACACGCTCCACCCATTCCACTTTGGGGACTTCGATGAGCCTCTCCTGGATCTGCTTCCTTCCCGGCACATGAACAACTCGTTCCTCCACGACCACCTGCGGTACCTCCACGATCTCCTCGCGGATCTCGATCAGGCCCTGGGCTTCCAGCATGTGGAGATGGTCGTTGTACTCTTTGCTGCCTGGCTCCACTCCTGGCGGAAGCCCGGGGAGGTCACTATCACCGGAACCGCCCAGGTTCTGCATCGCCTCCTCCAAACTGCCAGGGCCACCCACCAGCTGCATGGGATCATATCCCAGAGCATCACGGATGCCGCCCCCGCCGTAGCCGCCATAGTCAACAGCAAGCCCCCCTGGACCGATACCACTCATGCCTGGTCCGTAAACGCCTCCATCTCCCAGGCCGTATGGATCCATCCCTCCTCCTGGACCTCCAAAGCCTCCTGGACCTCCGCAGCCTCCTGGCCCGCCACAGCCACCAGGCCCACCAGGCCCGCCAGGCCCACCAGGTCCGCCAGGCCCACCACAACCTCCACAGCCACAGGGCCCCATTCCCGGCACAAAGACCGTCGGACCGGGGGCAAAGGAGCCGAGGCCCGAGAAGTTTCCACCTGGGCCACCTCCACCCGGGCCAAAGCCACCTGGACCACCTTCGCCGTAAGCGCCCCCACCGCACGAACCATTTTTACCGCCAAATCCACCAGCTCCAAACCCACTGCATGCACCGAGACCGCCACCTGGACTGCCTGCAGCGCCGCCCGGACCATATCCATCAGCACCACATCCGCCGGGGAAACCACCGTAACTTCCAGGGCCACATCCACCTGCAGGACCTTGTCGTCCACCTGGACCGAAGCTGCCGGGACCTCCCGCATCACCAGCGCCATAAGAACCCGGCCCATACGAACCTGGTCCATAAGAACCTGGCCCATAAGAGCCCGGACCATAAGAACCTGGACCACCGCCTGGCCCCCCACGTCCACTGTAGCGGTACTCCACCTTTCCTGGGACCTCAATAATGCGCTCAATGATCTCTGGCTTTGGCACACGTTTGATGGTCTCTTTCGTTATGACTTGGGGGATCTCAACCACTTTCTCAACAGTGATGACCTGCCTTTTGCCCGTGACAACCTTAGACACTTTCTGTTCCTGCTTGTCCACAACCTTCGTGCTAAGGACTCGCGGGTCCTGGATCTGCACATCTGATGCATCCTGGTAAAGGCTTTGGAGCTCTTGGGGTGACATTATGCCGGACTTGTCAAAGGGTTGGGACACTTCTTGTGTGACCAATCCAGTTGGTGGAGCATTGCCTGGCATATGGCCTGCCATTGGAGATGTCCCATGTACCTGCAATCCACTCATGGCCGCGGGTGAGGGAATGGACTGCATCGAACCTCCCAGCGGGAGGAAGTCTGGACTCATTCGGCTGCCCCTCTGGGCGGCTGAGCTGTGCTCTTGCTGCTGCGGCAAATCAAGGCCGAGAAAGTCAGATCCAGCGTCCGTCCGGAAAGGATTGCCTGCAAAGGGGTCTTGCACGTCCGCTCGCTGCATCTCGCGTGCAACATCCAGGGTACTGTATTCTCCGCGAAGACTGGCATAAGGATCCATCGCTATCTGATCCAAAAGGAGCCGGCCAAATCTGTAACGGCCGGTCTCCTAACATTCAAGATCAAAGTTCTAAGCCAAGATGGCTCACGAAGTACCTCGATCCTGTACTTGCACAGGTTTCACGCGGACATGGCCATCTGTCTGCGTGCAATATGCACGGGCCTCTAAAGTGTGGAAGGAGCTTTCACTGCGGGTCCAGTTCTCAGGAGTGAAACCTCGGAGGCAGCAAGTTTGTGGGACCTTCTCTATATTTGAGCTTTTGTCAAAGGCCTGGTCATGGATGATTTGGGGGTCCTATCGCTTCGCAAGGATCTAGTCATTTTTTCTGTGGTATCGCTTTACTCTGTTGAAATTAGTAGCAAACAGTAGTACGAGTAGTAAAGTAAAAGTAGTAATAGTCATGTCGGAAATTAGTGTAGTAATGGGAGTGGCAGCAGTGAGAGCCACAATAACACTGCTTCCATGAGATCAGCCGGTGGCTCATGCAACGATGGGTTTATTTAGGGTATCGATTGGAGTATCGATTGTCTGGCTCATATCTCAGCACTGGCACAAATGCGGCGGCAGCAATGAAATGTCACAACGGATGATCTTCGTTGATCTTATCGCTTTTGGGGGATCCTATGGCTTTTTGGAGGTTTTGGCCAAGTCCGGCATTCCAAGACTTTGCTAGTGATAAAAGGAACTTTTTAAGGATGCTGACATAGCCTCTAGCTCAGGAAACAGCCATCTTCACGATTATGAAGGCGCCTGCAAGTTGCGCTTCGCAATTCCGACTTCCCCCGAAGTGGAAGTCATGCAGCAAAGAAACCTTCAAAATGCCATCCGAAAGAGAAAAAACTCTCACAGTCCAAGAATTCTGAGTCGAGCAGCCGATGTTTTGGTTGTTGAAGCCACCTACACCTTCGATCCGCAGCTGTCCTCGTCTTCATGCCATTCGCTCTTGCATCGGACCCTTTGGTTAGGACAACGCATGGCGCAGCTTTGGCCCGAGTCCTCCGCCCATGCCGGGGTGAAACCTCAGTATAAATGTTTCAAGTCTAGTGCTGGTCTAGTCCTCCTCCTGCTCCTGCAGCTGTTGCTGCTGCGAAAGAAGCTAGCACCATCAGCTGCTGAGCTCTCAAAACCTCTTTGACTCTTTGCATTGTGCAATCAATCGCCAAGTCCCTAAACCCTAAGACCCGTTTTGGAGCTTGTACGCCTTGACTCTACATGTTCTAAACCGCAAGCTCTAAAGCCGTCGACACTCAGCTGTCTTTCACTCAGTGTCCTTGCCTTGCGAGAATCATAAATCCTGAGACCCCCACTTATCCCTTTACACCTGGGCTATGCAAGCCTACATCCTTTTGGACGAGGTCTCTCTGAAGTGACTCCATACTCACATCCTGAACCCTACATCCTAAACACCGAAACCTGCAATCCTGAATCCTCAGCCCTCAACTAAACTCTACCCTACGGCGCCCGAACCAGCCACTGGTGTGCGCAGATGCTTGAATCGGGCGGCATGCTCGAACCATTGCCACTACTGGCCAGCTACTAACACTATGAATCGAAACTATTGACATCATCACGGCGATGAAGACTACTCCTACGACAACAGCTGCTGCTGCCACAACCACCACCACCATCACCACAACCACCACTGCCACTACCACTACCACACCAC